TCATTTGGATCATATTTAGAGTTTTGAAGTGCTGAATAAGTGTGAAGCACTTTAAAAAGTCCTTGAAAAGTTCTCGAAGAAACATTCGGCTATTTCCGCCACAATAGCATGGCTACAGTTAGCGCTGATGCTGATTAGTGAAAAGCCTTGTTTAACTTGTTCATTCGTGGCACAGAGTGTTTCTCCTGGTTTCCACATCATTGCTGTGTGTATTTAGCCGATTGTTTTTAAGGATCCACACACAGATATGAACATTTTGGCTGATACCGATAATTGGTTATATTTGAAAGCCGATAACCGATACTTTGGCCGATATCATTTTTGAGAGCCTGATTACCAAAACAAAAGGTCATGTTCCAATCACACATTTATGATGATGTTCTCATGATAGTTTTATGAAGACTATATGACAGACAGCACATGTTGCAATTAACTTTTTTTTTTAACCTAATTTTCTTATCGGATTAATAACGATAACATTAAAGATGAACATATATCGTCCGATATTGATGTTTATCGTGCATCCCGTTTTACTTAACCGGTTCTTCAATATTTAAATGTAGCCTATGGCACGAAAACAAGTTATTACAGCCACAGTTTATATGTTTCAATGAATTGGAGAAGAAACATAATTTTGTTATTAAAAAACTGATACAAAAACTGCCTTATGTGCAATTTAGATGTTTATGAAATATTTTCAGTTTTCACTAAAAATCAACTTTTTAAGTTCTGGTGTTTTTGATAAAAAAAATTAATTTCGGTGCATCACTATCTTGGTCTTGGTGATTATCAATATCAATATCTCTGTCTGTGTGTCAGTGTAATGGTGTGTGTGTGTGTGTGTGAGAGAGAAACTGCTGGTCAATCACAGCCGTAGCTTCATTGTGTTCAGTGAGCGCCACGTGAGCTTCACACTCCAACAACAACACCACACTAATGCGGTTACACACACACACACACACACACCTGTGAGACTGCTGAACACAGGAGAGGAAGTTACTGAACCCCACTGACCTTCACGGTATGAAATGAAACCTCTCGAAGGCTCGTGATCATGTGATCGAGTGCTTGAGTGCCTGATCACGGTTTCAGTGAAGTGCTTCCCAATCATTTCTCCCAGAGGGATCTAATAAAGCGTTACACAAGCATGAACCAAACCAACACAAACACTGTTGATTGAATGAACGGAGTTTGTTCTTCCAGAACCGACTGCTGCGCTCTATTATATGCTGTTGTATGATTTTATCTGTTACATTCAAGACTCAACCAATGCACAGAGTCACACACACAGCTCATATTAGTCCTCAGACTCTCAATACTGAACCGAACACGAGGTTTCACACACCAGATAAACTCAGCAGTGACGACTGCATTCGTTCTGATTGGTGCGCTGACGAGTGATTGACAGCTGAGTGGACTGATGCATTCACACACACACACACACACACACACACACACACCTGATGTTTTTCAGCGTCACACATCATGAACAAACACACTGAAGCAGCAGCACTGGACACGCATGATTAATAACCAACGGCCCTCTTATACTAAAATAACACTAATCATAAACGCACTGACTTCACTCAACTAGAATTCATTTTTGCATTGCATAATTCTCGCATTGCATATTAAAAACGTTTTTAAAAACGTCAGTCTGTCCCAATTCGTCCCAATTCCTTTTACGAAGTCTTGATTTAGTTTTGGGGGTGTACTAGAATATGTTTTCATGCTTGATTGTTCAAAAACCGCATTATTTTCCACATATTTTCCAGTATTACAGCTCCTCTCCCCCAGTCTGGGCGACAGAAGCCCCTCCTTCAGAAATACTGTGCTGTGATTGGTCAGCTGGCTGGACCAGTGTGCTGTGATTGGCAGGGAAATGTCCCGCCCCTTCATAACCACGAGCTCTACGCTAGTGTAAACATTATCAATGGATCGATTTCAAACCAGATCGAGCTGATTCAGACCCTGACAATGTTGCCGAACAAGAGGAGTGTGCTGAACGGACTTCACAGGACGTTTCAGAGTTGTGTGTTTGTAATTTTCTTATACATTTAGATACGATGTTATCCACCGTTTAATCGTGATATTTGCCGGAAAACTAAGGTACTACAAACAGTAAACGACCACAAAACGATGGCTAGTTTTCCTAAGGAGCGGTGAACCGTCTTACGCAAGAGCACCAGAAAACAAGCTGTTCTCCGTGAAATGATAAACGCTGAGGTTATAATGTTCAGAAGTGTTTAAAATTAATTTGAACCTCTCTAAGGGCGTTTTCAGGCCTAATGATCTTTTTGGGGGGGGCTTAACTTGTTAAAATGTTCCATTTTCTTCTTGGTTCGGTTCGCTTTCACAAGGCAACCTTTCAAAGCGTACAAGTCACATGTCAGTAAAGCTGTCCTCTTATTGGTCAGTGTGTTTTCTCAAGATGATTGACAGGTTGGCTCCATGAGTTTATCGTTTAAATTAGGGAAATTATGACTTCACAAGATCCGGAAAAAAACTAGCCTAGTTGTAGTCCAAACAAGCCGTTCGTTGTAGTTCTTGAAAAGTGGATTCTGTTAAATATATATACACTATAATATATATATATATATATATATATATATATATATGTACACACTGTTACATATAATATCTCCCCTTGAAACCTTGCAGATGTTTCTGATCCTCAAACACAACATTACACACTGAATACAGGTGAAAACTGGAAAAACACAAAACGCCTTGACTGAACAATGTTTTTTATGAGTCATGAGTGAGTGACATGACAGAGCAGGAAATTATGTCATGGCGAGGTCAGGTCACGTGGTGCGACTTAATTAACATGTACTTACTATAGAGTTAGGTTGCATGTAATTAGGCATAATTTACTGTTATTACTATGGCAAACATTTTTAACATATTTATGAAGTTTGTGTAAATACCAACGAACTTCAATGTAACAGGGATGATCTCACTTTAATAAAATACGCTGATGACCTGGTTTTAATTGTTCAACCTATTTTGAGTATATTAAAAGTCTTGTACAATGGTTTGAACGAAGGAATTAAGCTGACTTATGTATCAAGTTATTATAAAAGGTGTAAAGGTAGAGCAAGTTGCAAATTTTAAAATATTTAGGAATAATTATTGATGACAAACTCTCATTCCAGGAAAATGTGAACCATAAGAAAACAAGCCAGCGTTTAGGTCTACTCAGGAAGTTATATTAGCATTGATAGGAGGATCCTAACTACTGTTTACAGATCGATGATCGAAAGTATTTCACTTATAGTATCGTTTCGTGGTGTGGCAATGTAACAGTGAGACAGGTTTCGGGGCGCTACTATAGGTGTGTGAATGTGTGTATAAGATATGTATTGTATTCATGTGTTTTAATCATGTTTCTGACAGAGTTTAATGTGTGCCCATGTGGTGTATAATGTGGTTGTGCAGTTTTGTCTGATGTATCTGTTTTTTTTATGCCAGTGTTAAAGATGCATTTCTGTCCAGTCAATCTGAATAGACAAAGTCAAGCAAACAACATGTAACAAGGACACTAAAATAAAGTGTTACAACATGTTTTCCCAATTTTTCAAAAAATCGTTTTCATGTACTTTCCCTAAATGACAATATTAAAACCATGCTATAAGCGGTTCGTGTCCAGCTTTCCACCAGGTTAAATCAGTTCAAATACACATTTGTAAATATATATACACACACAAGACTGTGACGTTCCTGAGGAAGATCAGCGCGGTCAGTGACGTCACATCGAAACGTTATCACGTCACAGCGACAGATGATCGATCAGAATAACCGCGTTAAAGACCCAGAAAGAGTCAATATGAGCCGCGGAAAAGCCCCACACTGCCCCGCCCTGTGAACACACAGCTGTCGGTGTCGAGTACGCGTGTAAACACACACACACACCCGGCGCTGTGGACGGAGATATGCGCGTCTGAAGGCTCGCAGTGTGTGTGTGTGTGACAGAGTTTGATCCGATGATCGATCAGCAACGGACGCGTCAGAAAGTTTCGTCAGACTGCGCGGAGAGTGTGTGTAAAGTGCCGCTCGCGCTCTGAATCACAGCACACGCGATGTTTTTATCGTTACCTGAGTGTGTGTGACAGTCCCGATCCAACGCTCGCGTGTCTGTGGATGATCTGACTGACGCTCGCTGACTTTCCCCGTTTCTCATCGATACATTCAACGACTGCTGTGAGCGGAGCGGGGGCGCGCCTCTCTGACGTCACATCCCCTCAGCGCGCGCGCACGCGCGTTCACGACCTATGTCATATTTCTCGTGCTATTTTTACCAAATCTCTCTGTGGCAGAAATACTACATTCATCCGTAACATTAAAAAAAGTATGTATTTTATATTGATTTAATTTAAATATTCGTAATGTTTTTATTTCCTGAAAATGATTACATTTGCAGGATTGTTCCACTTTTTAAAAAAAGAAACAAAAAACATAAAATATTATACATTTTACATTTATCAGTCTTGTATATATCACAGTAAATATTTATACAGGAGACTCCAGTGAATATTTCTGTGGTTTAGTGTAAACACGATAACGGGGCATGTTGTCACAATGATTGTCACAATCACAATCAGCTGAAATTAATCCAAGAAACACGAAATATTTCGTCAAAACTGAAAATAAATAAATAAAAGATAACACCAAATATTAAGCTATTATTATAACTAATAATCTTATACAGTGTAAATATGTCAACTTGCGCTGCTACATTTGTGCAAAACACAGATGAACCTTCATTGCGTTTTTGATTGTTGATACTGAATTTGAGTTTGGAGGACATAATTCACTGAATGTGTCAAACCAACATATATAATATGAGCGTTTATGACTCAAAACTTCACAGATACTGAGCCTGTGAAAACGCCCCGCTGTCCCTATACTACTCACTCTACACTACTGTAACTGTTCAAGAGTCTCTTCTGCTCACCACGGCTGCGTTTATTTGATCAGAAATACAGTAAAATATTATTATTATGTAAATCAGCTGTTTTCTATGTGAATATACAGTAAAGTGTAATTTATTCCTGTGATCAAAGCTGAATGTTCAGCATCATTACTCCAGTCTTCAGTGTCACATGATCCTTCAGAAATCACTCTAATATGATGATTTGATGCTCAAGAAACATTTATCATTATTATCAGTGTTGAAAACTGTTAATATTTGTGTGGAAACTGTGATACATTTTATTTTCCGGAATACTTTGATGAATAGAAAGGTCAAAAGACCAGCATTAATTTGAAACAGAAAATCTTTTGTAACATTATTTATTTAGCTTTTTTGAACATGCACAACATCAGTCAAATTCTTTTTAATAGTGACATGTTTTGGTTTTTACCATAACCATATACTTTACATATTATATATATATATATATATATATATATATAGCACATCAATAAAATTAATTAAATAATTACATTTAAAAATAAATAAATATATATATTAAATTGTACAATATAAAATAAAATCTAAAACATTCAAAACAACACAGATAAATATAAAATCTAAAACGGCACAGATAAAGGGAAATAATAACATAAATGCACAGATCAACAGGCCAGGGCCGATCTAAGAGTTGCATGTCTTATTTAGAGACATCTCCAAAAGTCAGTGTTGGAGAGTGTGTACGCGTTTACCTGCTCTCTCATCTTTTTTGTTTTGTTTTGTGCAAAATAAAGCAAATTCAGCTTTTTTTAGTATTATGTCATTTAGTTCCAACGGTTTAATGTATTAAAAGTGACGGGTCTGGGTGATTTCTGTGTTGTTGTTTCAGGGTTTTGCTCTTTTCTTCTAGTTTAACTGTTTTCCACGAACAGTGTTGGATAAGCCGTCCCCTCAGGAAAGCCGTGTTATAGCAGGGTCAGAGACAGTGTTCGAGTAAAGGAGTGTATATAGCGCCATCTTGTTTTGCTAGTGTAGTCTGTAGATCATGAACTGTTGCTGAACAAACTTAGGGATGCTGATTCTGTCCTAATGCTGTTAAATGGTTTAGAAATTATTTTGTAGAAATTACTCAGTGTGTCCATGCAGAGGAGTTTCTTCAGATATCTAAAGGGGTCCCCCAGGGGTCTATTTTGGGACCTATTCTGTTCTCTAATTTTATAAATGATTTAGGTAAGGACGTTTGAGCAAAAGTACACTTCTATGCTGATGACACTGTCATTTATACACATGCTCCTTCCATAGCACAGGCTGTGCAAGAGCTTGACTGCATTTCAGTCATTACAAACCGCTCTGCTCAATATAAAATCGGTTTTAAATCCTCAGAAAACAAAGATCATGGTCTTTTCAAAAGCTCTCCTACAGTTGCTTGATGATCTCAGCATTTTTACGTCTGATGGTAAATCCATTGAAAGGGTACCCACGCACAAGTACTTGGGTATATGGAGACGACAAACTTTTATTTAATGTACATATTGCTAATCTAGTTAGGAAGCTTGGCTTTTATTTTAGAAATAAATCTAGCTTTACTTTCAATGCCAAAGAAAACTTGTGGAAGCTACTTTTCTGTCTGTGATTGATTATGGTGACACATTATATATGCACACAGCCTCCTCTATGATCTGGTGGGATGGACAGCACTGACCGCAGAAAACAGCACTGGTATATTTTCATATATAAAGCCATGCTAATCTTCCAGCTTACCTCTGTGCCCTCCTCGGTCTCAATTCTGCTAGTTATCAGCTACGCTCCTCCAAGTGGTTTTGACAGATCTGGGGAAACTGCATTTTCATACTATGCACCCTGAGCATGGAATAATTAGCAAAAAGATCTTAAACTAGAAACGTGTATATCAATTGATACTTTAAGAGCATCATAAAAAATGTGGTAAAGGAGACATCGTTGTTTTTCTTGAGAGGCCATTGTGTTTGAATGATTTTTGCATGATTGTATGTATGTGGCATTTTTTACTATGTTCTGTTTATGTATGGCTGCTACCTTGGCCAGGTCTCTCATGTAAAAGAGATTTTTGTTCTCAATGATACTTCGTGGTAAAATAAAAAGGATCTGAAGGAGCAATATTCCCACTGAACCCGACTCAACACTTGCTCTGAAATGAGGATATCATCCGCCACATTCATCCATCTTTATAACATTATTAATGTGTGGTTGCTGATAGAAGTCTTCATTTCCTTCAGAAGATCAAGCGTCGTCCTGCTGAACGTCAGTGTGTCTGTGATACACAAGCACTGATCTCAGGTTCCTCTGCAGATTCACCACTCACTCTCTGAACACAGGCGTCAGTCCTGGGCGAAGGTCATGTGATCACACTGATACGGGCGAAACACACACACACACACACACACACACACACACACACACACACACACACACACACACACACACACAGTAGCCTGCAGTGTCTCCAGCGAAGGCCTCATGTGTTGTCAGTCTCACTTCCAGGTGGCGGGGAAAGGTGGCCTCACGCTGCCGGATCTGCTGCCCTTTGACCCCAGCGACTGACCCGACCGGCTCCTGAGGTCAGCGCTCTCGCTCAGGGCCTGCTCCTCGTCATATCTGAGAGAGAGAGAGAGAGAGAGAGAGAGAGAGAGAGAGAGAGAGAGAGAGAGAGAGAGAGAGAGAGAGAGAGAGAGAGACATCAGAGGATGGGTACATGGTGGCCATAAAGGGATGGACATGGTCAGAAACAATGCTCAGGTAGGCCGTGGCATTTAAACGATGCCCAATTGGCACTAAGGGGCCTAAAGTGTGCCAGGAAAACATCCCCCACACCATTACACCACCACCACCAGCCTGCACAGTGGTAACAAGGCATGATGGTTCCATGTTCTCATTCTGTTTACGCCAAATTCTGACTCTACCATCTGAATGTCTCAACAGAAATCGAGACTCATCAAACCAGGCAAGAACCATCACATCATCATAAATAGTGGATAAAACATCATTAATACACCATTTTTCAATAAAACTTCAAGCCTTCCTTCCTCTAATTTCCTAGACATAACTTCAGGATCCGTGGATATGCAAATTGTAAGCCTTTGTTCTTCCTAGTCTTCCACACTGCCAATTTTGCAGTCCCAATCAGATAACTCAATAAACACACTTTCTTCCTCATCAAAAATCCATACTTTAACCCTCCAATGAACACTATATCCGAAAAATCCTCGTTAAATTCCCTGAACCATTCCTTAAGAAGATTAAAAAGACATCTTAAAAACAAATGTTCCAAGTCTTCCTCTTCTCCACTAAACCTGCAGCCACTGCTGGATTCAGGAGTGCCACGTGCCTGTCTGTCGCTATTGCCCGGTGAATAATCCTCCGTCGTAGACCAGCTGTTCACTTCTCCACACAGTGCTCTCCATCACGAGGAACTCTGGTGTCAACAGTCCTGGCCACCCAGAGGCCTTTACTCTCCTAAGCGATCCCTGATGCATGACCTTCCCCGTGATGTGATGAATGGCCTTCTTAGATGTAGACTCGAAGAGTTCTGAAAACTGAACAAGCATCCACACCTTCCAGATCTTCCTTACTTGCAGGAGCTATTTTCATCTTGGGGAATCGTCTCTCATCGGGTTCCTTCCTTGCGATGATCTCTCTGTAGCTGCTTGGTATTACATTGAAAATGTCCTCCATCAGTTTTGCTGTGAGTCTTAGTGACCGTAATCCTGAGGGTCTCTGCTGATCTCCATCCATTATGGTCCAAGAGGGGCCCCAGTTTAACAATGTTATTCCTTAGTAAGCATGTTCGTATACTCACAGAAGATAACATCCTTGTCTGGATCATTGGATTAAAAAGCAAGGGTTCTTCAGTGACCCAGTGTCCTTGAGGATCAATGTCCCGCTCTACTTTAAAAACAGTTATCCAGACCTTCAACATAGACCTGTAAAACGGTGTAAGCTCAGGTAAAAGCTCACCTCCTCCAGTTTCATTAGGAATACATGTTTATCCAGTCCCAGTCCTCCTGCTCTCTGTAGCAAAGCACAAGCAGTTTGGGCCCAAGTCAAGTCTTTATGATAGAGGAGTCTCTGTGCAGCTTGTATCCTGAAGGCACTGGTACGACTCTGACTATCTTAAAGTAGGACTACACTGCAATGCATTCTGGGTACAATAAGACACTTTTTAAAACAAAAAACATGGCGGATCGAGTAAGGGCATTCATCCGCTCAGTGCAGTTTACCCCAGCAGAAGATATGTGTTTGTTGGAGGAGTATAACAGTTACAAGGACATTTTACTGGGGAAATTTAGCGGAGTAGTAGTAAACGTAGTAGTAGAAAGTAGTAACAAGAAGAAATGTTAAATTTAGAAAAAGATTGCTACGACGGTTAACAGCGTTAATCTGACCGTTGAGTGGAGCGTTACAGACGTACCGAAAAGATACAAAAACATGGTACAAGTAGGTTACTGTGGTCCCTAAAAACCCTTTCCCTTCTCATAGCTTTCTCCATAACGTCGTCAGCAAACCACAAATTATGAGCCATTTTCCCTTTTCTTTCGGCTGTTTGTAATGTAACTGATTGTTACTGCTGGTTGCCACGGTAACAGAGTCTTAGACCTGAGTTAGCCTGGGGGAAAGGTGTCTAATTTTTTTGGTCTAAATTAAGTCAGTCTATATTTTAGTGAAACAGTCTAACTCACATTAGACTAGTCTATGAGCAAATTTTAGACTTGTCTAACACTATAGACCGGTCTAAAATAGCTCTGTGAAACCGGCCCCAGTTCATCAGGTGGCTCCATGACAATAAACCTGTGCCACAGTGTAGAGGCAGTTAGGTTATTAATAACCAAAACTCACCCTCTATACGACAACTGTGGTAATAGCCATTTCCATTGAGACAATCACTTTCTCCAGCATTCTTCATCTGAAATTATTCCCTAAACATACGCCTAAAACGTTCAGCCCTTCCCTGCCCCATTTCAACCCACCAGGAAGATGCGGAGGTCTTTTCCCTATCCACTGTCCAATAATAAAACCCTCACTTTTCCCCAGTTTAATCTAGCTGAGGATGCCTTCTCATATTGCTCAATGTTCTTAGTTAAAACTGTAACATCATCCTGGCCTGTAATAAAAACAGTAACGTCATCAGCATAAGCCGAAACCGACACCATAGACCTGATGTCTCCATTTGGATTTAAGACTCCATTGAGATTTCTCCTTAACCTACACACAAGAGGTTCAATGACAAGGCTATATAACTGTCCTGAAAGTGGACAGCCTTGTCTAATTCCTCTAGAGACAGGTATTGGTGCACTTAAACCACCGCCAGCTTTTACAAGAACAAATGCATTGGAATACAACTACTGAATACATGAAATAAATGCATCACCAAAGCCAAAATGCTGTAAAACATTCTAGAGATACCCATGGTCAACTCTATCAAATGCTTTCTCCTGATCTAGAGAAAGAACACCAATTTCATAATGATTTAACTATAATAACATCACGTAATATAATCCATTATAGGTCTTTCAGGAATGCAGTATGTCTGATCCTTCTGCACCAATAAACCCAGATAACACTTTGATCTATTAGCCAAACATTTTGAGAATATTTTGTAGTCGACACACAACAATGACACTGGTCTCCAATGTTGTCTCTAATTTTTCAGAAGTCCCAGATCTCCTTTTTTTGGAAGTAATGAAAGTACCGCCCGACTACAACTAATGGGAAGTATCTTACTTTGACAACAACCCATCAGTTCCTGGGGATCTACCCGTGCACAACTGCTGCATTGCCTCTGTAAGCTCTCGAAAAGTAATGTTATCATCCAGAGTCTTTTTGTGTTCACTCTCAATCTTTGGTAGATCACCAAGTAGATCCTCCGCGCTTTCATAGTTACAGCTTTCAGAAGCATATAACTGTGAATAGAAATCCACAGACATCTTTCTTATTTCCACAGGATCTGTTGTTATTGCACCATCATGACGACGATGATGATCACAAGATTGAAAAAATATGTGCTAGGGGTGTCCATGTCTTTAATAGAGCAAAATCTTGCCCTTATTAGCGCTGTCTTTACTTGCTCTTGTAGAAAAGTCCCAAGTTCTTTATTTTTCCTTCGTTAGAGCATCATCATGCACAAGTTCATTATTATTAAAAATGTCATGCTCTAAAAGTTCAATGTCTCTTTGTAATCTTTTCAGTTTCCTTCTCAAACGAATCTTTCTTCATTTTACAGTTGCTCCAGAAAAAATTAAATGAATCACAAAAATTAAAGAGAGAGAAAGAGAGAGAGACTCACTCACAGCACTTGATAGAGAGAGAAAGAGAGAGAGACTCACTCACAGCACTTTATAGATAGATAGAGAGAGAGAGAGAGAGAGAGAGAGAGAGAGAGAGAGAGAGAGAGAGAGAGAGAGAGAGAGAGACTAACAGCACTTGATAGTGTCCCAGAGCCTCTTTGGGCAGACAGCGGTTCCAGCGGCAGTCCGGGATCTCGCCGTTGGGCGTCACGATGTTCAGCGTGTCGTTGATCAGGTTGTACTTCAGAATTCGGTCATTGGCCGTGCTGGAGGTAAGCGACGGGGACGCATTCACCTGAGACACACACACACACACACACAGAGAGAAAACGCACACACACAGAAACACACACACACACACAGAAACACACACACACAGAAACAGACACACACACACACACCGTTACAGCTGACTACAACAACAAACGTAAATTACTGAAACAAAAACTAGAAATGAAATAAAACAAGATTAAGTTGAACTACTAAATTGATTAAAACTGATAAAAGCACAATACAAAGTTATTCAAACTTACACTAAATTTTGAAGGAAAACTGAAAATATAGACAAAGGAATGAAAAGCATGAATAAACATTATAATAGTGTATAAATAAAACTACATTAACACTGAGACTTGCACACGGCCGTCTACCAGCCCCTCTCATCGGGCGCAGCAAAAGCAGAGCGTCGCTTCCCATGTGGCAGTGATAAAAAAAAAGGAGGTTTCTTCCTTGCTGCGGACTCCTTGCCGTGGCGTTACGCTAACGGCGGATGCTTCCCTCACGGGTTGGCGATCATGAGTGGTCGCTCGGCTCACGCTCTAAGGCAGGGCTATCCGCTCTCTTGGCACATAAATCGGCTGGAGATGATGGCTGTGTTTCTAGCGCTCAAACAGTTCCTCCCAGACCTGAGAGGCCATCATGTGCTGTCCGAACAGACAACACATCGGTGGTCTCTAACATAAACCATCTGAGGGGTCTGCGGTCGCGCCACCTATCCAAACTGGCTCACCAGATCCTCCTTTGGGCCCAGGGGAAACTGCTTTCTCTAGAGGGAAGTTTATATCCCTGTGTATCAAAACCAGGGAGCAGACGTTCTGTCGAGGCAGACTCCACCCCTCACTCGGCTCTGTGGTTCTCCCTCACGCATCCAGCTCATCTTGGACTGGGTGCTATAGTACAGACGTGGCCGAGGCTACATCTGTACGCGTGTCCCCCGATTGCTCTGCTCCCGGGAGTTCTGGAGAGGGTTTGCCGGGACGGGCCTGTCTGTTGCTTGAAGCCCCTTACTGGCTCGCCCGAGTATGGTTCTCGGACCTTGTGTCTCTCCTCGAGGACTCTCCCCTTGAGATTCAAGTCAGGAGGGACCTGTTGACACAAGTGGGGGGCACAATCTTATGGAGACTGTGGGCCTGGCCCTTTAAGGGGCTCAGCTCATACTGTAGATTCAGGTCTCTCAACCGAGGCTGTTGAGTCCATACTTCAATCCAGAGCTCCCTCCACAAGGAATCTTTACGCCCGTTGAGAGTGGAGAGTTCCACTTTATGGTGCAGAGAGTGCCAGCAAGACCCTTGTAACTGCCCTGTTGGTACAGATCTTGAATTCCTGCAAGAACATTTCTCTGCAGGAGTATCCCCCTCCACCTTAAAGGTTGTGCAGCTAAAGCTGCTTTCCACACTCCCACACTTTTCCAAGAGATCCTTTGGTTATGCGTTTCCTTTGTGGCGCTTTGGGACTGGGACCAGCACAGCGCACTAGAGCACCGGCATGGGATTTGGCTATTGTGTTGGAAGGCCTTACAGCAGCTCCCTTTGAGCCTATTGAAGAGGTTCCAGAAAAGCTCCTCACTCTAAAGACTATTTTCCTACTTGCTATCTCGTCTCTTAAAATAATTGGAGACTTACAGGCCCTATCGGTAGCTCTGTCCTGCCTGGAGTTCTCTACAGGAATGGTTAAAGCTTTTCTTCACCCTAGGCAGGATTATGTTCCTAAGGTCCCCACCACCTTTTTTAACCCCAGACCAGGAGAAACTTAATCTGCTGTGCCCTAGATGCTTACGTCCACAGAGCTGCCCTGTGGCATAAGTCCGATCAATTATTCGTCTGTTTCGGGTCACCCAGGAAGGGGTGCCCAGCATCGAAGCATACGAGTCGGCCGGTCAGCCTTCACCTAGGAGTATGGCCGCTTCTGCTCTCAGGAGCTTCCCTTTATCACATCTGTGATGCGGCAGGCTGATCCTCACTGCTCACCTTTGCCAGGTTCTATAGCCTGGACATAGGCTCCACTCCAGGTTCCAGAGTGCCTTTGCCCTAGTGTGCTATTACGATTCACACATACAGGCACTTGCTAGTATGGTGGCGTGGGTATATGGGGTTCCCACAGCGTCTCGACACAGCTCGAGCTCCCTTTACAGGGAACGTCTCAGGTTGCGTATATAACCCTGGTCCCCTGAAGAGGGAACGAGACGCTACGAGACGCTGCGACACCCTGCATGCCTGTGATCGACTTGCCTCAGCCTATCAGAAGCTAGCGTGGTCTGTTTCCGGGTATGCTTTATAGTTTCCTGGTCGGTGACGCCTATGACATTCCCTCAAGCCATTGGACTGATTTCACACGTGCTTCACGACTGATCACGCAGAGGCGTTCCCACAGCGTCTCGATGCAGCTCGAGTTCCCTCTACAGGGAACCACGGTTACATACGTAACCTGAGACGTTTTCATTCATTGAAATAACACTGAAATTAAATATAAATATTACACAAAATACCTGAAGTCAAATGAAAATTAGAAATGTTGCCTTGCCAACTAAAAGTTTAAGTTAAACTACTAAAAAGATTAAAACAATAATGAATTAAAGCAAAATAGAAATATTAACAAAACCACACGTTTAAACTTGAAAATTAGAAATGTTAGAAATGAAATTAAGAACTAAAATCGAAGTACAATAAAATTAAAGCTAAATAGAAGTATTAAAAAAAACTAAAACAACTGTAATAAAGTGTTTAAATGCAAAAATTCTGATATAAGTAAAGCTAAATAGAATATAAAAAACGTATAAAAATGTTGAAATGTTGAAAGCGATGATGATATCTGACCTCGATCAGCCACGGCTTGAGCCGGTCGTCGATGATGATGTCATAACCGTAACACTCGAAACAGTGCTTGTCGTTATTCATGACGGGCTGCAGCCGAGAACAGAAACACATTATTATTATTATTATGAATGACTCATCTTAGTCTTCCAGCTCAACACTTCAGTATCAGAACGATCCAGTCAGTGCGGTCCTACATCATCATGCCTGACAGATGCGGTGATCTGTGGATGTTTCTGCAGAGGCATTAGCCTATTCTAGCTGGACTTACAGCCACGGCTTTGAGCGACTGGACGATGATCCAGTGGATCTGGTCGAACAGGTGGTTGGTGACGTCCCGTCCTCTAGTGCTCTCCAGATAGAGGCGCAGGTTACCCACCGTCCACTTCCCGCCGTGAACGTGATTGTAGTCGTCCTGCGGTCAAACACAGACATACTATATACAGTACTGTCTGAAAAACACTCTTACAGATGTCGTAATCAGCCATGAGGTGTTTATACAACCAATCAACTGAGTTTACCACAGGTGGACTCCAATCAAGTTGTAGAAGCATCTCAAGGATGATCAGTGGAAACAGGAGGCACCTGAGCTCAATACTGAGTGTCATGGCAAAGGCTATCAATACTTATGTAGGGCCATTTTTCATTTTTAATAAATTTGCACTTTCACATTGTCATTATGGGGTAATTGTAATAGGAAAATAATTAATTTAATCAATTTTGGAATAAGGCTGAAACATAACAAAATGTGGAAAAGTGAAGCGCTGTGAATACTTTGTGGATGCACTGTAAATATTACTATTGTAATCTTACCGTTTTTCTGTGAAACAACATTATTATATTTATTATAAAACAAGGCCGTAACCACCATAGCAGGGGCGTAGTACCTGGTAATACCCGTTTATTCTGACTTTTTACTAATTTACAGGTTTTATTTTTCTTATTTCTTATGTTTAACCGGCTGAATATTTTGTCCTAATGACAAATGAAGTTCATGATTGTTTTATGTACTACAGACATTTGTGCATCAAGTCATGATGGATTTTATGTAAAAACGTAATTTTTAATCACAGAATAAGGCAGTATATTTGATAGTTTCTACTGTAATAAAAGCTATGTCAATTAGCAGAGCATTATTCATATACTTTATTTTGATGAAAATACCCCAAGATGGAACATAAAAAATATATTGTTGCAATCATGTTTTTAATGTCTTCACGTTTCATCAGTCAGAATGTTTCTGCTTTTCTACTCAGCTGCAGCGATGGCTGGATGTCTTTGTCCATATAAGGGATTTCCTGGAACGTCATAAGCTATGAACTCTATGAGTCCGTTTTGGACTTTCTGCGAGAGAGCGCCCTCCAGCTTCAGTATATATGAAACGCACATTACATGAGAGTATCCTGTCTCTTTGAAATTACACTTTCCCATTATATCAGGGAACCGAGGTTACGTAAGTAACTGAGACAAGTATTGCGTCTTTGTTAGAAGCTATGGGGAAAACTCCTTTTTCTTTCATTCAAAAGCCTTTCGGGTGCTCTGCGCTCATTGGCGGGATGCGCCACGATTGATCGTAAACAAAGCACACTTGCTTACCAGTTTGAACATCAATCACACTGATCACTTCACTATAGTCAGCTCATGTTCTCAGGAAAATATTCGTGCATTCGAAATGCTCAGGTAAGATGATGTAAAATTATAACAGGCTTCTCTCTGTACCGTCTTGACTTCTTTGCTCGCTGTTTCAACATGCTCAATTGGCCCCAAAAAAAAACAGACGACGCCCGATAAGTGTCGACAGTGTGGAACACCATAAAAACTGGACCGCTGACCATCAACAACGGCCTGACGAGCGACCGTCAGCTTGGTGTGTCAGAGCCTTAACAGCACTCGCTATTGTCAAAATGATTGAGATGAACAATCAAATCAAAGAAGGCGGGTCTTACTGTTCACAGAAGACAAGTGCGAATTCCAACGCGATGCTTTAGTTTTAACGATTGAAGAAAGCAAGGTGATGCAAGTAGCTAAACATTTAGTATTTAATAACTGTTTTATGACAGAAATGTTAAACAAACGACAGTCGTACATTTTGAATAGAAAATATACTATCATTTAGGCTACACGATTTAAGTAATTCATAACTCAGTGTGAGGAGACAAGAATATTTTTTTGTCCTGCAGAACCGGGTGTCTGAAGCATGTGTGAAATTAAGACAATCTTACTGGCCGACAGCAGTCCAATGAAGTGCCTGTATGTATAAAAGGGTGCTTGCATTACACGTCGTCAGATTTGAATTGTCTGAAGGAAGATGAGAAGGCATGCCCGAAGCAAGGCAATGCAACGCAGCGTCTCGTTCTCAAGGAACTGGTGTTACATACGTAGTCCGAGACGTTATCTTTTCGTAGGGAACTCAATGTTGTGTCAGTTGCTGACGCTATGGGGATGTTAATAGCTGATCAATGCCTGGCTGTGCGCTGTGAAGGTCACTAAGCACAATCTTGCCACAATCAAAGCACTGAAGGGACCCAGCATAACCTAAATTAACCCGAGTAGCCCAGGGACGGGGATCAACCGATTCACAAGGAGCATAATCCTGCTTCAATAAACAATATTACAACTTGGGGTAGGAAGACAAGTCAGAGATTGGAAAAATATCCATACTCATACGGAGGGCATCAGATTTATTGGTCATGCTTCCTAAGGAGCATAACTAATAGCCTATATGATAGATTGGGGAGTGCAACAGATGAGAGAGTGGGCCACTTCCACCTGAGAGAGAAAAAACAATGAGAAAGATAGAGATGACAAGTGAAGAGTGGATATAAACCACATTCGACCTCACCTGTCTGGCTCTATACTCACAAGGATATTTGTCAGGCAGACGCCATTATCGCCACACGCTCACCGAGGAAGTGTGCTATACTGCACTATCACCTCCTACTCTGGAGGGGGCTACAGATGATAAGTGGGATGCCTGTGGCAACAAAGTCCATTACATCCTATCAACCTGCCCATTCCTCATGAACGTCTAAGGAAGCATGCCAACATAGTAGACATACTGTTTACATGAACATCTCCCAGCTGAATCCACTGGAGGAGATACTGATGGAGCAGAGCTACCTCACCACCCATCACACAGTGAGTACCGAGCGCTCGCTGTACTCCCAATGGCAAGGCGGGAGCCTTCAAAGAGGATCCAGCACCAGGTAAGAGATAGCTCACAAGCACCTCTTCAACCCAGGGCATCCTCATGTATCGCTGCTCAAAAAGCCCCATCACAAGCAAATAGGTTGAAGAGTGGGAGACTCTATGCAAGCAGAATACAGATTCCTCCATTATCTTGACACCTTGGTGTGGAGATCTGGGAGGAATAAAAGACTCACAGCTTAAATGCGGGGCAACAGAGGAGGCGAATTATTGATAACATCTAGAGGTTCTTTTACCCGACCCTAGCCCAACGGGACCAGAAAAACTCACGGGTTTAGTGTCGGGTTTGGGTTAATATTTAATGAAGAACCTCCGGTTGGGTTCGGGTTTATAACTAAGAAAACTATATAGGCTAAACATATTGTGGCAGGGGGAGCAAACGGCAGCACAGTGGGGGGTGTTGCCAGGCCTCGAAGAGGCATTTATTAAATTAAACATAAAATGTCCAAAAATGGGGAAATAAAGTGTTAAAATAAAAGGGGATCTGGTGTCCTTGTTGTGCCAGGGAACCGTGAAGGATGGGTAGTGAAGAGATGGGATGGGTCCAGGTAAGGGGGCGGTGTCCGGCGGTCGCACACGCTTCTCTCTCTGGTCTGAGGCTCGAGGGGCGGCGGCTTCAGCATCGCGGCTTCTCCTCTTCATCCATGACAACATGAGGAGAATAGGGCCCGGCATCCTAGCCTGTCAGCGGCATCACGCATGGTTCTCCGTTCGGACCGCGGGTCCGGCGACCCACAGCTCCGTTGGCGCGGGAATCCCTCCATGCTCCTTTCCTGGACCCACGAGGACACCAGTGTGCATGCACAGGGAAGAGACCGGTCTCTCGAGGAGAGGCGCGCTCAGCATTTAACAGCGGCGATGATGAGGCTTCATATTCTTCAGGTGTGCCTCATCACACGCCGCCAATTCTCCTCTTCAGCGGCCCTCCTTTCAAATCACACCCACCCCAGTCGGGAACCTGGCGAAGGGCGGCGAGTTAAGGGACGGGGTGGCCGTTCCGTCACAATATATATAGTTTGCGTGCCGTGTGCTCACTTGCTTGCTGTGTTGTGACCATAAATAAGAGCATGCGAGAGAGAAAGTACGTGCGCAGTTTCAGCGCCGTCCTTCTCTGATTGCTGTGTTGTGACCGAAATAGTGCGCGCGGGAGCACATGTGCAAAGCAGTTTTGTAATATGATATATTAATCATTTTTATTTTATCATGTATCATTTTACAAAACTGTTCAGCGCATGTGCTCCCGCGCACACTATTTCAGCCACAACATAGTAATCTGAGGAGGACGACGCTGAAACATCAACTGTCGATGCTGTTCTCTTCCTTCATAACTCGTACTCAGAAGGATATATTTGTGTAAATAGTTGTGCAACACTGTGCAAACTTATTTTTGCTTTACCTGACTCTAATCTTACTAGACATACACACAAAGTAGCTTCCTGAAGACAACAAAGCTGATGGCATGTAATGCAGGCACTGGTGCTCAATATGACATAACTGGACTGCCGTCGGCTAATATAATTTGCCTTGATTTCACACATGCTTCAGACACTGGGCTCTGCGAGACGCGTCCCTATTTGTGTCAGCAACTAAGAGGGAACCAGCAGCGGATTCAGACTGTTGTAAGTACACAGGCTCTAGCTGTGGGTGTGAGTGACTTACGCCGTGTTTCTGGATGGCCACGTTGGTGAGGTGCACGAACATGTTGTCCAGCTCACTGGTGCTGGGCGTGTATTTGACCGTGCAGAAGCGGCAGAAGCCCAGTTTGTACCTGAAACACAAAGCGTTTAGTGCGGATCGAGTAATGCAGTGGCGTGCAGCGGTCACACACTCACATGTAGCACTTCAGCGGCCTGTAGCTGGTCACCAGCACGTACAGACGCAGGTCGAACTTCTTCCCGCCGATCAGCAGAGGGTTGTCGATGTACAGAGAGATGACGTAGGCCTCCTTCCCGCTGTTCGCTGCCACGAACCTGTCAAACGCCAGCATTTTCAGCGATTAATCTAAATCCAAATTTTAATATAATTTTGAGAGCCTGATTACAAAAACAAAAATCTCACCAGCCATGTTCCAAGCACACAATTTTTATGATGTTCTCATTATAATTTTGTCACCTATATGACTTGTACTGCACATGTTGCACTTTTATATTTTTCCAATCATATTTCTGGCAATTCAAAACCATCATGGCAAACAGTGCGCATCTTAAGTTTCTCAGCTGAAGGAAGTAATCCATTACTTATCGGCTTTAAAATATCGGCCAAATTTTCTTATCAGGTCACTAACGTTAACATTACAAATTAGCATAGATCGGCCGATACCGATTTGGTGGCCGATATATCGTGCATCCCTATTAACTATATACATTTTTATGGAGCCCCTAAAGAGACATGAGGGGAGAAAAAAATATGAGATGGGAGGAATAAATATGTCATTGCTTTTGTGTTCTCTCGCAAAGATTTTAAGTTCCCCAGAGAAACTTTGCGACCGCTCGCAAAAGAACAAGTTTTGCGAGAGAACGTAAAAGCAATATTAAAATATATATTTTTCTCCCAATTGCCATATTTTTTCCATCACCATGTTACTTACAGTATGTATTGTATGTAACTAGCTCCATACATTTTAGTATAATTATATTTAATTATATAATAAGAATATTAATATTTAATTATTATATAAAAATATTTATTTGGTTAATTTGACTTTGCATATTTCATTTTTATTATTGTATGAAAAAAACATATAACAATAAAATGCTAAATCAAACTCAAATAAACAGTTGCTGGTTTCACTGAAGAGGATTGTTACGGCAGCCCTCATGGCGATCTTACGTGGACGTGCGGCTGTCGCGGGACCACTTCTTGATCTGGGAGAGCTTGTTGATGAGGAAGATGCCTTTTCCCTGCGCCTTCCCGCACGGCTTCATGATCCACGTGCTGGACGGGCTCTTCCGGAACTCCTCCACGAACAGATTGTAGTCGGCCGGCAGCATGAACGTCACCGGCACGAAATCTATGGTCAGAGTCAGAGACTGAGCGAGGGCACATACGAGACAGACGGAGGCGAGAGGAGGAAAGCAGCGGCTCGTTTTACCCAGGTAGAGGTATTTCCCGCTCTCGTCCTTCTCGGCCAAGGGACTGGCCTCCTTCTCCAGGTCTTTGCGGTAGCGCTTGATGTTCTTGATCATCAGGTCCTTCCTGGTCAGCTCGTAGTGGTTGGGGAAGTGGTTGACCATCTGGTCGTCAGTCAGCCGGTAGCCGGTGTCCACGCTGAACACGCTGCGGATGGTCTGGATGCTCATCCTGCCAAAGAGATCACATCACTGCAAACATGAGACGTGTGTGTGTGTGTGTGTGTGTGTGTGTGTGTGTGTGTAAGTTCCTGCCATTCCTCTGATGTATTTGGTCAGAATGATATTATACACAAAACTGGATTTGAATGGCAGAACTGGATTAGATACTAGTGTGTAGTGTGTACTCGGGTGATTCTCACAAAACCATTAAAACTAATGATTTTAAATATAAAACATGTTATTTAGTAACATAAAAAGCATCACAATAAAGACCTTGCACAATGTGTAATTTCAACATGGGATTAATTATTTTTCTATTTTGCATTTTCTACTGAAATTCTCAGCACCGTAATGTGTCCGGCTATATCTGAATTTAAACAAATTCAAATAAAAGAATTCTGAAGAAAAATAAATGGATGGATGTTCTGGTAGATTTACTTGTGTCCGTTCCCTCCTTCAGGGAACAAGGGTTACATTTCACGTCCCGTCGGCACCATTGCTGGAGCCCCACTGAGCTCCTCAGCGAAAAACAACTGGTGCTTGCATCCGCTTCCCATTTATTCCTGCACTGCTGGGCGGAGCAGGAGATCCAAATCTTGGACGCCAATGTGAATTGGCTCGTTCTGTTTACACTCAAAGATGATTGGGGCTCTCTGACGCGACCCCAATATGTCGGTCGCCGACGTTACGTTTCCGTTCCCTCCTTCAGGGAACAAGGGTTACATTTCACGTCCCGTCGGCACCATTGCTGGAGCCCCACTGAGCTCCTCAGCGAAAAACAACTGGTGCTTGCATCCGCTTCCCATTTATTCCTGCACTGCTGGGCGGAGCAGGAGATCCAAATCTTGGACGCCAATGTGAATTGGCTCGTTCTGTTTACACTCAAAGATGATTGGGGCTCTCTGACGCGACCCCAATATGTCGGTCGTCGACGTTACGTCTCCGTTCCCTCCTTCAGGGAACGAGGGTTACATACGTAACAAAGACGATTTATATACAGACAGCAAGACAAATAAACACATCTACCCCAAAAGAATAACCCAAAATAAAAAATATCAAGTTGCAGGGTATCTGCACACTTTTTAAAGTCAAATTTAAGGCTTTTTAAGACCTAAAGAACAGGACAGCTGGCTACCTATAACTGGACAGATCACACAGTGAAAGCAGGAGAGACAAACGCGATGTCAGCTCGCAGTGCCTCGTACATAGTTAAAACAATGATTACAATATCATCATAGCCAATACATATCGCACACCCCATGCACATAAAGAATGAACTTATAATTGAACATTACCAATTTTCTACGCTTCTCTCCTCCTTTCGCGTGCAGGACAGACGTTATGCTGCCGCAAATGACGCAAATTATCACGTGAACAAGCAAATCCACAAAGATAGAATAATAAAAAAACAAATACGTACGCTAATTAGACAGTTTTAAGTTAGAATACATTTAGATATGTCTAAGTCAAGGTGTCATCTAAAATTTAAGACCTTTCATAAGTAAAAATAAGACTTTTTATGGCCTTAAATTTGAAAAATCTAATTAAGACATTTTAAGACTTAAGGATCCGCGGGGACCCTGAATTGAGGGGAAAGTTGCGCCACAGAGAAGAGAAACTTCTGGACAGGACTAAAGAGATAGTAAAGAAGAAGAAAAAGAAGAGGGGGATTAAACAGGTTCTTGTGGTCATGGAAGGCAGAGAGGTCCAAATAAACAAAAATGGAATTGACTTCCAGGGACAATTTGGAGTCAGAAAGGGAGAATGCGGAGGCAGGTTTTGGAAGTAGGAAAGTGGGTCCTTGTACAATTTCACGCAGGTATAAAGGTCCTTCTCAAAAAAATAGCATATTGTGATAAAGTTCCATAAGTTATTTTCCATAATGTAATGCTAAAAATTAAACTTTCATATATTTTAGATTCATTGCACACCAACTGAAATATTTCAGGTCTTTTATTGTTTTAATACTGATGATTTTGGCATACAGCTCATGAAAACAAAATTCCTATCTCAAAAAATGAGCATATCATGAAAAGGGTCTCTAAACGAGCTATTAACCTAATCATTTGAATCAACTAATTAACTCTAAACACCTGCAAAAGATTCCTGAGGCTTTTAAAAAACTCCCAGCCTGTTTCATTACTCAAAACCACAATCATGGGTAAGACTGCTGACCTGACTGCTGTCCAGAAGGCCATCATTGACACCCTCAAGCAAGAGGGTAAGACAGAAAGAAATTTCTGAACAAATAGGCTGTTCCCAGAGTGCTGTATCAAGGCACCTCTGTGGGAAGGAAAAAGTGTGGCAAAAAACGCTGCACAACGAGAAGAGGTGACCGGACCCTGAGGAAGATTGTGGAGAAGGACCGATTCCAGACCTTGGGGGACCTGCGGAAGCAGTGGACTGAGTCTGGAGTAGAAACATCCAGAGCCACCGTGCACAGGCGTGTGCAGGACATGGGCTACAGGTGCCGCATTCCCCAGGTCAAGCCACTTTTGAACCAGAAACAGCGGCAGAAGCGCCTGACCTGGGCTACAGAGAAGCAGCACTGGACTGTTGCTCAGTTTTGCATGTCATTCGGAAATCAAGGTGCCAGAGTCTGGAGGAAGACTGGGGAGAAGGAAATACCAAAATGCCTGAAGTCCAGTGTCAACTGTCAAGTACCCACAGTCAGTGATGGTCTGGGGTGCCATGTCAGCTGCTGGTGTTGGTGCACTGTGTTTTATCAAGGGCAGGGTCAATGCAGCTAGCTATCAGGAGATTTTGGAGCACTTCATGCTTCCATCTGCTGAAAAGCTTTATGGAGATGAAGATTTCATTTTTCAGCACGACCTGGCACCTGCTCACAGTGCCAAAACCACTGGTAAATGGTTTACTGACCATGGTATTACTGTGCTCAATTGGCCTGCCAACTCTCCTGACCTGAACCCCATAGAGAATCTGTGAGATATTGTGAAGAGAAAGTCGAGAGACGCAAGACCCAACACTCTGGATGAGCTTAAGGCCGCTATCGAAGCATCCTGGGCCTGCAAAAGGATTCCCGACCAAGTATTGACTATTGAGTGCATAACTGAACATAATTATTTGAAGCTTGACTTTTTTTGTATTAAAAACACTTCTTTTATTGGTCGGATGAAATATGCTAATTTTTTGAGACAGGAATTTGGGGTTTTCATGAGCTGTATGCCAAAATCATCAGTATTAAAACAATAAAAGACCTGAAATATTTCAGTTGGTGTGCAATGAATCTAAAATATATGAAAGTTTAATTTTTATCATTACATTATGGAAAATAATGAACTTCATCACAATATGCTAATGTTTTTAGAAGGACCTGTATTGCCTAAGTGCAAGCTTGTTCAGAAATGGTGACAAAAACGTTAAAAAAAATTAAACTTAAAAAATAACGTCTTTTTCGTTAAACATTATTTAAATATAAACGAATATTAGATTTTTATGGCCCCGAATATTCAAATGCAATATTTTTGAAAATGCCCATCCCTAGTATAGAATCTACACATTATGTTCTTTCAGGTTTGTCACATCATTTTGAAAATATATTTTCATTGAAATATAGAAAAATAGTAGGAGCAAGGTGTTGCGGGAAATGAGAGAAATCACAAAAAAAAACTTAATTTAAAAATAAATATTATTTCAGAGTTTTAAGTAAATGTTCATGACTGTTAATAACCCATTTTTTAAATGTGAAAATGTTTGCTATTCTAACAGTGTTGATGTTTTCAGACTGTTGCGTTAATGAGATTTTTTAGGACTCGTTTTGAATTTATTTTCAAAAAGGTCTTAAATTGTAAGTAAATGTTTTTAAAGTAATGTTCACAAATCCTCCAGACTTTGTTTCTAATTGTCTGGAAACAAATAAACATTTGTGGAAATTTCTAAAGCAAGCTTATGTGAGAATCACCCACTCAGTGCATATAGTGCAGAAGCACACTAGTATTCCACTCAGGACACAGTCATACGACCACAGTCCACCATGAACGGTTCAAACAGTTCATCTGAACAACATGTAATGTGTAATGTGGGATTCAGCCCTAGCACTGGTCTGATCAAGTGCTTCAGTGTGTAGTTCAGCAGCGTTCAGGTTTGCAGTGTCAGTGTGAACGGATGAAATGAAACGAGGTCTTGCCAGTAGAAGTTCCAGTCGTCGCTGTCCGTCACCTGGATCCATCCTCTCTTCTCAAAGTTATTGATCAGCACCGATTTCTCGATGTCCGTCACCCACTTCACCTTCCCAGCCATCACACACACACACACACACACACACACACACACACACACACACACTCCTGAGAAACACACGCCACTTCTGTCTCAGAGACACCGCACCACGACAGCTCTAAACACTCATAGCAGCTCAATCACTGCAAGATTATTAATGGGGTTCGGCTGGAAAAATATTATAAAATAGAAATAATACTTTGGTAACACTTTACAATAAGATCTCATTAGAAAACATCACTTTTAATAAGTTAAAAACACAACTGTTAGGTTCATGTCAGCTCAGGTCCATTAAATAATGTTAACAGCTCAACTGTTGATTTAATAATAAATAACATAAACAAAGATGAATATATGTACTGTTCATTGTTAGTTCAAGTTAACTCATGAAAACTCATTGTAAAGTTTTACCAATATTATAAATACTTTGATTAGATATTTCTATAAATACACTTAGTTTGGCATTAAAACACACACTCATGTGTGTCACATCATCATTCAGTAATGTCTTTGCTAATCTATCAGATGTTCATGTGTGTTTAGAGGAAGATTTCTGTGTCAAAGTGCTAAAACAGATTCTTAAACACGGATGATATAAACTACAGGCGCTGCTCGTGCGTTTCATTATAAACTGACAGACTACAGATCACATAATCAATAAAACACGTTGGATTAACTCACAATCACAGCTGTCAATCCGCGCAGGATCAGTTCATGCTGGATGTTGCTGGAGAAATGAGCTTTCCTTCAGAAGAGGAGCATCACAACAGCAGCAGCGGCCCATCGCAACGCTCTTCACTTCCGCCTGTACCACGTCATTTCCGCAACGACGCGCCGACACGCACAGCAGTTTATGTTACAAATTACTAACCCTAACATATTTACATGTTAAGAAAAGAAGAAAATCATTTGTTATTTAATGTATTTACATATACAGTATTTATGCGTTATTGATCGCTGAAAGGAAACGCAGTGTTTGTTTAAATAATAGTTCTGTTAATTTAACTCTTCATTTCCAGACGTTTCTCAAAATGCGTTCATATGAAAGAGCAAATATATTACAACACAACTAATAATTCATCAATAAGAAATCAGAAATACTACTAATAATAATACATAAAATATTAATAATAGTGGTTGTAATAATAATAATATCAAAAGTAAACATCGTAAAAGAAAAGCTACTGGTAAATCTTGAATGTAAGCACAATAAGACTTTTATTCACAATAATGTTTTCCTCACTTTTGTATTTTCAGACACAGAGATAGTAACACAATATTGTTGAAATTACACCTTAAAAATTGAAGATTGAAGAAATGTGAAACTGTGAAAGAAGCAACAGATTTATAAGATAAAACTCTTTTAATTCACATCACATGTATTTGTATAGCGCTTTTCACAATACACATCATTTCACAGCAGCTTTACAGAAAACACACGAGTCCACATTATAATCTAGAGAGATCTGTTATCAGAGGAAACTGTCTAAGTTACACACTTCAGAAATGCACATATACAAATCACAGTTAGCGGAAAATGTGTTCATTTAAACAATAATCATTAATACAATGATCTCATAGAAGTAATGAATACTTGTTTATTAACTAATGATTATGACATTTAAAAGATTCTAGCATTGCTGTGTGTTGATTCAGTTTTACAGGATTTTGACCCACATTAATGAAGGCAAACTGTGTGTGTGTGTGTGTGTGTGTGTGTGTGTGTGTGTGTGTGTGTGTGTGTGTGTGATGAACTAAACTAGAACAGGAGTGTGTATAGATACACAGAACAATAATCAGAAACAGAGGAATAAAGATCAAGAGAAACTCAAATATGAACAAAAACAGCAAAACTAAACATAACCCTGACAACAACAACAATAACTAGAATGTACATTTCCAGAAGAAAATGTGAAGTGGTGCTTGCAGTGGCAAAACTCGCCACTCGGTTGCTAGGGTGTGGTACATGGTTGCATAAGAGCCAACAACCATGTCTGTATGATGTTCTAGTGCTGAGATATGGCTTCTTCATGTGTTCAGGTGGTTGCTAGGCGGTTGCTAGGGTGTTCTGGGTGGTTGCTACGGTGTTGCAAGGGTATTCTGGGTGGTTGCTAGGGCGTTGCTAGGGTTTTCTGGGTGGTTGCTAGGCGGTTGCTAGGGTATTCTGGGTGGTTGTCAGGGCATTGCTAGGTGGTCGCTAGGGTATTCTGGGTGGTTGCTATGGTGTTGCTAGGTGGTTACTAAGGTATTCTGGATGGCTGCTAGGGTGTTCTGGGTGGTTGCTAGGGTGTTGCTAGGGTACTCTGAGTGGTTGCTATGGTGTTACTAGGTGGTTGGTAGTTGTCACAGATGGTTACTATTGGAGTTCTTAACATTTTCTTGGCATGATTTAGCACTTACCTAATCGCTATTAGCATGTAGCTATTCACAGCTAGCATGTGTAACATGTTGGGAGTCCTGTTTGCTAGCATGAGTCAAAAGAGCCAACCCCCATCTCTATACGATGTTCTGATGCAGAGATGTAGGTCTTGCAAAATGGTTGCTAGGGTACTCTGTTACTCGTCACTATGAATGATAAACCAACTCCCACGCCTCTGTGACATTCAGAATGGAAGATATCCATCTTTGGATTTTGGTTGCTAAGGTGCTCGACAATGGTTGCTAGGGCGTGGCTAGGAAGTGTTGAGGTGATTCATGATTGGCTGTTTGCTGCCCCGAGTCAATCGAGACCATCCTCGTGTTTCTATGACAATTCAGTCCGGAGATATCCCTTTGATCTCTTTCAATGGAAGTCTATGGAACTTGTTGCTAAGGTGCTCTAAATGGTTGCTAGGGTGTGGCTTAATAGCTTCACAATGATCCTGAGAGACTGATTGGTCGTCTGAGTAAAATGAGCCAGCCCCCTTGTCTCTATGACACTGTGATCCAGAGTTATGTTCAATACAAAATCCCTATGCAATGTGTAGGACGGCCCATCTCTACAGTCTGTTCTCACTCATCAACACAGTTTCACTGAGGATCCATCATAATAAACCCCAAACCCAGGATAGAGTGTGTGTGTGAATGTGGTGTGGACTGTGTGTATGAGGCTCGTTGTGTCAGAGATGCTGTAGAAGGACAGAGTTCCTGCACTGGGATCCACATACACTCCTGTTCTCCTGTAACACACACACACTCCTGTTCTCCAGTCACACACACACTCTCCTGTTCCACTGAAGATGTGCTCTACAGGGAGTTTAGTCAGTCTGTTATTGTGCCAGAATGAGTAACTGGAGGGAGAGCAGGACAAACTCCAGGACTGACGATTATATCCAAACCGACACTCATCACCCCGTCCCTTCCTCCTGATGCTCTTAAATGACACTGATATAAACACACCACCACTCCACTCGATCTCCCAGTAACAGCGTCCACACACACTCTCTCTACACAACACCTGAGGACACAGATCATCAAATCTGTCTGGATGATCAGGATACGGCTGGGCTGTGTGTGTGCCAGTAATCACTCTGTTCCTCTCAGACAGAAGGTCATTCATAGTGTTCAGATCCAGAGTGAGCGGATGGGAATCTGATGGAGAGAAAACACATTAGTGAGTGTGTGTGTGTGTGTGTGTGTGTGTGTGTGTGTGTGTGTGTGTGTGTGTGTGTGTGTGTGTGTGTGTGTGTGAACTGATGAGGATCTGACGGAGAGAAAACACATCAGTGTGTGTGTGTGTGTGTGTGTGTGTGTGTGTGTGTGTGTGTGTGTGTGTGAACTGATGAGGATCTGACGGAGAGAAAACACATCAGTGTGTGTGTGTGTGTGTGTGTGTGTGTGTGTGTGTGTGTGTGAACTGATGAGGATCTGACGGAGAAAAAACACATCAGTGTGTGTGTGTGTGTGTGTGTGTGAACTGATGAGGATCTGACGGAGAGAAAACACATGTGTGTGTGTGTGTGTGTGTGTGTGTGTGTGTGTGTGTGTGTGTGTGTGAACTGATGAGGATCTGACGGAGAGAAAACACATCAGTGTGTGTGTGTGTGTGTGTGTGTGTGTGTGTGTGTGTGTGAACTGATGAGGATCTGACGGAGAGAAAACACATGTGTGTGTGTGTGTGTGTGTGTGTGTGTGTGTGTGTGTGTGAACTGATGAGGATCTGACGGAGAGAAAACACATCAGTGTGTGTGTGTGTGTGTGTGTGTGTGTGTGTGTGTGTGAACTGATGATGATCTGATGGAGAGAAAACACATCAGTGTGTGTGTGTGTGTGTGTGTGTGTGTGTGTGTGTGTGAACTGATGAGGATCTGACGGAGAAAAAACACATCAGTGTGTGTGTGTGTGTGTGTGTGTGTGTGAACTGATGAGGATCTGACGGAGAGAAAACACATCAGTGTGTGTGTGTGTGTGTGTGTGTGTGTGTGTGTGTGTGTGTGTGTGTGTGAACTGATGAGGATCTGACGGAGAGAAAACACATGTGTGTGTGTGTGTGTGTGTGTGTGTGTGTGTGTGAACTGATGAGGATCTGACGGAGAGAAAACACATCAGTGTGTGTGTGTGTGTGTTTGTGTGTGTGTGTGTGTGTGTGAACTGATGAAGATCTGATGGAGAGAAAACACATCAGTGTGTGTGTGTGTGTGTGTTTGTGTGTGTGTGTGTGTGTGTGTGTGTGTGTGTGTGTGTGTGTGTGTGTGTGTGTGTGTGTGTGTGTGAACTGATGAAGATCTGATGGAGAGAAAACACATCAGTGAGTGTGTGTGTGTGTGTGTGAACTGATGAGGATCTGACGGAGAGAAAACACATCAGTGAGTGTGTGTGTGTGTGTGTGTGTGTGTGTGTGTGTGTGTGTGTGTGTGTGTGTGTGTGTGTGTGTGTGTGTGTGTGTGTGTGTGTGAACTCATGAGGATCTGATGGAGAGAAAACACATCAGTGTGTGTGTGTGTGTGTGTGTGTGTGTGTGT